CCAGATGTGCCGAATATCATGCGAATCTTCCGGAAGATCAGGGGGCTTAAAAACCAGGAGCGTCAGCGCCGCCAGGGCACTTTGCAATAGTCCGCATAGAGACAACCGCTCATTCGTTTTTTGCTAACTGTTATCCGTAACGTTCGGACCGCGACCAACAGCTAATTTCTAGTCGCGCTTGCATTCTGCTTCTTAAGCAATAAAACGACACAATAAACTGCAAACGAGCTTCAGCGTAGTTTATTTTACTCCACTCCTGTCGATTCCCCTTCTGGAGAATCGCCAACACATATCTCTACAAATACCATTTATCGGACGACTGTTGAACTACATACTGTGAACCTTTTCGAACAGCCATGTTGAGTGGCATAATTTTAGCTGCAGTTGTTGAAAAGTGCGGACGTTTGATATAGCCTGGTGTTGTGTGTGTGCGTCACACGCAGAGAAAGGATTGGCCAACGCAGCTAAAATATAGCCGTGGCGGCTAATGTGTGTTTTTAAAATATAGGGACAACTAATATTATTACTGCCAAAGCTAAATTTATTAGTTGTTAAAATTTAGGCGTTACAGCAAAAAATATTTGCTGAAAAAATCAAATAATGTTTAACTAATTCTATTGAGAAATATCCAGTAAAACTTTTAAATTTTTCAGCAAAATCATTCTTTCCTTATGTCATTTTCTTAGCTACTCCTGTTAAAATACTTTTTACTTTTTAAAGATAAATATTTGTTGCGAGATACAATTTTATTAGCTAAAATAAAAGCGTATTTTAACAGGAGTAGCTAAGAAAGTGACATAAGGAAAGAATGATTTTGCTGAAAAATTTAAGTTTTGCTGGATATTCCTCAATAGAATTAGCTAAACATTATTTGATTTTTTCAGCAAATATTTTTTGCGGTAGCGCCTAAATTTTAACAACTAATAAATTTAGCTTTGGCAGTAACAATATTAGTTGTCCCTATATTTTAAAAACACACATTAGCCGCCACGGCTATATTTTAGCTGCGTTAGCCAATCCTTTCTTTGCGTGTGACGCACACACACAACACCAGGCTATATCAAACGTTCGCACTTTTCAACAACTGCGGCTAAAATTATGCCACTCAACATGGCTGTTCGAAAAGGTTCACACCATGTAGTTCAACAGTCGTCCAATAAATGGCGTCAATGGGCAGGCTGCAAAAAAATCAGTCCGGGAACTTATGAACCACATTGTGTATATTTGTATATTTTACAAGTTTTGTGATTGTCGGAAAGAAACTTTTGGACGTGAATTTCACTTGAAATCAACTGCATGAAACGAAAAACCGTAATATATACCATATTGATAACATTTAATGTATATCAGACATCAAAAGATACTTAAAAATCTACAAAATATGTAAACAAATGTCATTAAGGGGGAACACCACTGTGACGGCCGAAAAAAGGTTATTTTCGTGAATTTTTTTGCGATAATTAATAAGTTGTATAAATTATTTTATATATTATTATCTTTATATATTAAAAATATATATATTTAAGATTTTATTAAAAAAATCATAAACTAATGTTAATATTTGTGGCCTTCGTCTTTGATGATGTAAACCTCTATTGGAAAAACATGGGTGCACGGGCGCCCGTGATGCGTCTGAACAGGATGTCTAAAATCAAAAATTCTTTTTTTATTTTAAAGTATGTAAGTGTAGTTTCAGTTAAGCGTACGGGTTTAAAAAAAAATAGTTCACTATTTTGCGAAAAAAATTATTACTTTTTTAAATTATTTTTCCAAAAATAATTATCTGATTGAAAAAATCGTACGCTTAACTAAAGACAATTTTGTTGTAAACATTCTGTCCAAAAATCAAATCATTTGGATAAAAATTGGCTGAGATATGCGAGCGCCCAGCTACGAAAATGTGGTTTCGAGAAAAACGTGTTTAAAGTTTTACGCGGCTGGGCATATACATATATCTAAACACGTGCTATTTTATTACATATTTACTATAGTTTCATTGTAAATTTCCACAGACTTCTATGTTACACTAGACTGCTAGCTCCCTAGATTTCAGGTTATGTAAATGGTCACAAAATCTATGTACAGAGAAGGGACAATGGAATGCAGCTTCTATTGGTTACTTCGACGATAGTGAGGCTTCGCCCAATCATTGCTTATATATATATATATATGTATGGATATGTATGTTACATGCGCGATGAATTGATGTATATGGGCAATCTTGCATTCCACAATCCCTCAATCTGCCCTCTCCTCTTGGCGGCTTGATACATAGATTCTTCGATTAGGCTAATCTAGGGAGCTGGCAGTCTAGTGTAATATAGAAGTCTGTGGGTTAGAATAACAGTGACAAACGTTGCTTTATTAATTAATATCTTGATAACGGGTGAGTGAATCTATATGAACTTTTTTTAGAAACATTGCTCAATATTTTATTTATTCACAAACAAAATTTCAGAATATTGGCAATACTGCTTCTTTATCATTTTGTTGATAAATAGAAATATGCTGCTATTCCATAAGAACTCATGCAAAATTAAAAATTAAATAACTCGTGAACTAGTTAAAAAATCGACTTCAGGTTTTGTACATATATTAAGGTAATAAATAGAAATAATTCATTAAATTTTCAATGTATTGTCAGTGCTAGAACGTTAGTACCAATACATTCTATAAGTAGGAATTTGCTGCTATTCCATAAGAATTCATGCAAAATTAAAAATTGAATAACTCGTGACTAGTTAGAGAAGCGACTTCAGGTTTTGCACATGTGTTAAGGTAATAAACAGAAACAATTTATTAAATTTTCAAGGTATGTCAATACTAGAACGTTAGCGCCAGTACATCCGTAAAACTCGAATCCTTATGCTACGGCGTTCGTAAGGAGAGGAAGCAGAATTCCCCAAAGTGATTGCCGAGAGCGATTTGAGAGGATTTTGATAGAGAGCAGAGCCGCCTTGGTGAGACAAGAGTTGCAATTTATTGTCTACAACCACCGGTTTCGTCGTTGGACGGATCGCGAAGTAAATGTTTTATTTATAAGCGCGGTCACAAATTTGGCTTAAAACATATCTTTCATTCCTGCCAGCTGTAGTAGCACGGAAACGCACACATTTTATTTTATTTATAAATGTAGCACAGACATTATGATTTTATCGACAAAATCACAAAATGGCTACAGCTACGTAGTATCCATTTAAAAAATGGATGTAATAGCGCTAGTGTACAGGGATTCTGACGTCCCACGTAAAAGACATGGACATAGAAATCTAAGGAACAGAGCATAAAGTTGCAGGAGGGGGAAGCCAGTGCGAAACAGTGCGATGAGGTAAACGGGCATCTAAATTTGATTGGCTGTTAATTTGCGCAAGCGCAATGTTAAGTTCTCGTGTCTGTGTGATAACAATAGTCAAAAATAATATCCAAATTATTAAAAATGATACTGTGTTATATGCCGCAATGTAAAAATCGATCAGACAGCCAAAATTTGAAACAACAGAATATTCCAAAGGTTACATTTCATAGGTAAGGTAAAATTATTATATTAACTGAAGTACATAGGTTACATAGGTTGAGTTAAAATTTCATATTAATTGATAGTTTAAAGAACTTTAATATTAGTCTATTTTCATAATAGTTCTTTAAATATTGTATTTTTGTTTTTAAATTTCCAAAAAATGGCACTACTCGCAATTTATGGATCGATATCTTGGGTCTTGATCAAACATCAATTCCATCCAGTGCACGCATTTGTTCTGATCATTTTAAAGAAGAATTTTTTGATAGAACAAAT